TGTTCCGAGTCAGGTCCTTGCATGTTCCGGAAGAAGGTAAGAAGGAACATTGAACCTGATAAGCTTTAACCCGATGTTTTAGAACGGTGTCTACCGAGGCCGTCTTTTGTGTTGGCTCAATTTTATACGAACTTTATTATGAGAAATTTTTATTTAGAACTGGACGAATGGAATTGAAAATGTATGAAGATTACTTGGTTACAAAGAATGTTTTTGAAAAATTTAATATTCATTTAATACATCCTTCCAATAGATTTGGTTTTGTTTTTGATAAAAGTAATCCAACTGTTGATCTACTATTTGATATTTATACAGATGGTTCTGGGGTCGGAGGGAGCGTAAGAGCTGCCTTTGTTGTTTTTTTACTATGGAACTGAGGTGAATTGTAGAATGTTTAAGTTGAACATATATAATTTAGTATATAATTCCCACGTCTGTAAATATTTACACTGACTGCCTGTCACTTCTCCATGCGCTCTCCCGCCCAGACAATTTCAATCCATTAATTGTCGAAATTAAGAGTCATTTAGAAATTTTGAGTTCATATTTAAATATTAAGCTACATATATACTTTATTGGTAATGAGAGGGCCGACAGCCTGGCCAAGCAGGCGGTCTCAAATGTCAGTACAATGGATATTGAAGTAACAGGCTCGAAGAGAACCGCTATTCGAAGAATGAAAGAATTTAAGTTAACAAATAGAAAATATAGTGGTTCTCTTCACCTGAAAACAAAGGCTTTATGGAACTAATTAAAATCACGAATAAAATGAAATGTATGAACAATATTGACGTTAGTCAGGTTAACTGGACATGGTAGGTTTCCGTTCTATTTCAACCGATTTAATCTGCAGGAACTATGCCATAAACTATGCAATAGTTGTTAGGTTGATGGTGATGCTAGGTATTTTGTGGTTAATTGTAGTTTAATAGCCCCTATTAGACAGATTTTTAACATTACTGATTTTAATGTAAGTGCCATTCATTTTAAAGTTTTTAAATTATATACTATTGCTCTAATGAAGTTTATCAATGAAAATAGGACGCTTGTTGGAATCTTCTGTTAAAATTGAATTCTGTACTTATATGGGTTTCAGATATCTGTGGTTGTTCTATGTTGTGAATTTGTGTTTAAGTTTTTTTTTTTTTTTTTTTTTTTTGTTTGTTTTGTAATTTTTGTGTTAGATGTGCTTACTTATTTTTAATTTAGTATTTTGTTTGTTGTTTGGGGGTGCCTGGGTTACTGGCTGCCCTCGTTTGTGGAGAGACGGGGTCCCTTCTTTTGAGCTAGGGAGACACTCATGTCCAGATGGGCTGAAGGGAGACTCCAATTCTTACAAATCTTACGTCTTTGCCTAAGTGTATGTAGAATTTCTACCTTTCGAAAAGGAGTATATAAGTCTGATGAGGTCGCTTGAAAACTTATCAGGTCGCAGAAAAGTCCCTCATGCCAGACGCGATCAAAAGATTTTTCTACGTCCACTACCTTTTAATTCGGTCACCATCTGTAGAGTCATTAGGTTTCCTTTTAGAAGCAGGAGCCATAAAAAATGTGCAGTCCTTTCCCTGGGACTCGAACCTGGACCTTTTGAATGCCCATATTTTATGCTTCCAAACAGACCACGAAGGCATTCGGGAAGGAGGCAGAAAATATATTGCGTGCGTACGTACACTTCGCAAAAAAAGGGGGGGGCAGTTCTATAGCTTTCGTTATACTGGGCCGATTGACGAAACTCAAATTGCGTTTTTCATGCCTCGAAAGCGCGACTTAGGATATATATTACATTTATATACAGCATTAGTTTAACATAGGTGTTTTGGCACAAAATCGGACTTTTTATGAAATAATATACTAATGTTTTTACATATTTCGATTCTATGACTCAATTTATGCCTAATTTTATAAAATTTGGTGCGAAAATTAAGAAGAAATTCAAAAATTTATCATGGTGCATTTTTTTCAGTTTACACCAAGGAAAATTCACTTGGCGAACTTCTTAATATATGGCAACCTATTTTCCTCTCCCTTCCATTGCGCAGGAGCGAGAAAAAATTAACATCTTTCCTACCTTTTTACATTGTGCATGAGCGGGAGAAAACACACATCGTTCCTAATTTCAAATAATTTTAACAAAGTGTCTAAACCACATTTGGTGTTATTATTATTGCCTTTAAGAAATATGCCAAATTTCAAAACGCGCCAATATGTAAATTCACATACATCTTCACGTATCTAGTAAAACAAGGCGCTCGGTAAAGCATGAAATGAAACCGTTTTATTAAAAACCAGCCAAAATTACGAGACTTGAATTTCTGGCTGTTAACTAGGTAAAAAGTTTCTGTTTTCTATGTTGAAGTACCTCGGAACTATAAAACAAAGAAATTTATTAATAATAAATCTCTGCCCCTTCAAGAAATAACTAAAAAAAGCACTGTAGGGTATATATAGTGTCATAAATGCTAATGTTACAATATTAATGAATTTTATACTATGATAAATATGATAAATATACTCACATAAACTGTGTTTTATATTTCTTTTCTAAAAATAATTTTTATAGAAATGTTCCCTTGTTCAAAACCTTCGTGGAACATCATGTTTAGTAAACATAGAAGTTTTTTTTTTTAAATTGCAATTATTTTCCCTGAAATAAATTTAATATTTTATTATTTTTTCTGTAATTCTGTAATTAACAGAATTCTGTTAATATAAAAATTATTAACATTTTACATATATCATCTAATAATTTTACGTTATTTTATTAATATTCAAAAAATTTTATGTAAATTAATTATTTATATTATAAGCTGTTTTCTCTCTCCTTTCTGCATGCCTTCGTGGTGTAACAGCAACAACACTCGGCGCGTATTCGAGAGGTCCATGTTCGAGTCTCAGACAGGGCATTGCTCAATTTTCATGTCTTTTGCTTCCCAAACAATCGTAATGACTCTGCAGGGGCGCAAGAACTAAAAGGTGGTAAGATGATGATTTTTCTCCACCAGGATTTGGAGATTGGGTCCCCTTATTCCCAGTCACCCTTTAAAAGGAGGGTATATATATATATATATGTAAGCCCTTTCTCCCCCCTCCCTTTCTGCATGCCTTCGTAGTGTAACGGTAGCACACTTGGCGCGTATTCGAGAGGTCCAGGTTCGTGTCTCGGAGAGGGTATTGGACATTTTTTCGTGATTCCTGCTTCAAAGGTCCTAATAAGTCTACAATATAATAACCTTATATTAATTATATGAATATGATTATTAGAATTTTACCTTATTTGCAAAGTGATCAGATTTCTTTATCCTCTTTCATATATTAAAAAAGACGCTTTATTATGAATGAACATCTGAGCAAGATGTGCTATATTATTTAAAATATTAATCAAATATGGGCAATTGCAGAATTTGTTACGGGGCTTCTTTATGCACATAGCAATAAGAGTTAGAGGTTTGTTCATATACCATTAGAAGGACCATACTCTAAAGTTTGAAGTGTATTAATTTCAGAAAAATGGAAAGTGTTTTAGTGTAGTATATTTTAAGTGTTTTGGTGCCCATATTTGCCAAATTTACCTACAGGACGTATAAAATATTATTATTTTAGCCCCTGAACATAACAATAAAGAGTATGCGAACTGACAGTATAATAGACAGGGGAGCGTACAGTCGTGCCTAACGTCCGGGTTCGAATTCTGGAGAATGCATGGCTGTAATTGCCCGTCCCTTCATAGGAGATAACGGTGGACCATCTCTTAGGTTACTTTTACCATTAAGTGTCCAGCACTTCCGGCCTTAGTAGTGCACAAGCCTAAGTTGGCTAAGCGCCCACCAATGAAAAAAAAAAAAAACAGTAAAGGTTTAAATGCTTAGCGGCTTAAGTATAATAAAGAACATCCTTATTTGCCAAACCGAAATATTTTCATTGAATTTGCATTTTAAAAGTTAAAAGGTATTTCTTCCGTCTTCTTAGCGTGCCTTCGTGTTGTAGCGGTGTGCACGCTGGCCGCGTATTGTAGGTCCATGGTCCGATTCCCGGCGAAAGCGTTTCTAATTTTTCATTTTTCATGCTTCCAAAAATCCTAATGTCTCTACAGTGGCGCCCGAACTAAAAGGGGTGTTGGATGAGGATTCTCCACACCCGGGATTTGGCGATTGGGTCCCCTAAAAACCCCAGACACCCTTTAAAATGTTGAGTATATAGAGTATTTCTCCCGCCTTTTTGGCTTGCCTTCGTGTTGCAGTGTTCGGCGAGCCGGGCGCGTATGCTAGAGGTCCGTGGTTCGATTCCCGGCGAAGGCGTTGCTCAATTTTTACCTCTCCTGCTTCCAAAAAAATTCTTAATGTTTCTACCAAGTAAAGTAAATTGAGTAAAGTAATGTTTGAAGCAAATAAAATTGTAAAAGCTTCTAAAATTTTCGTGGCTAAGAAGCTAAACGAAAAACTCACTGTAAAGTTATTAGCAGTATTTTAAGAGATTTCCACTGGATCTTAGAATTTAATGATGAAAATTGTAAGGAAAGCATTTTCTTAATACCGTTGATGTAAAATGAATTAATTTTGTACGATAGATAATGAAGAATAAAAGAAAAAGTATCTCCTTAAGGTACAATAGCTAATTTGTTTCAAAGGCAACCATCTTTTTATGCATAAGTTCTAAATTTTAATGTATTATGAAAGTATATGTACTTAATAACTGACACTTTTAACGTTGTGAAATGAAGCTACTTTGCAGCATTTAATAAAAAATATATCTGCTAAAATTTGCATTAATGATGATGTCCTTAGATAAACAATACCTTCATTAGTGATATTTCACGTAGCGTCAAATGCTTTTAATAGCATATTTTTAATATTTCCTTCGTATGAACACGAGCTTAATATTGGTACTATTCTTTTGTCCTCACCGAAATTCTTTATCAATAAGTAATTTAAAAATAAATTCTTTGTTTCTAGAGTCATTCGTTTTACTTACATAACACGTACCATTTTGTTTTTTCGTTAAAGGAATGGAAGATAAACTGCTTCACTTAAAGGGACAGATGATGTACATGGAAGAATGGAAAAGTATGGTTTATCTGGGAACACCAGTGTAAGTAATATAATTAAAACTATTTATTGCCGCAAGAAATGTTTTGTTTCGCCAGGGAATGCAACAATGTATTTTGTTTCACCAGGGTAACGCATAATATTTTAAAGCAGAGACGGGACGATAGAATTTAAGACATGAGGCAAATCTGCAAGTTACGCCCGTTAAATGTTTATTTATTATTTCGCATTAATAATATTTAATTGCGGATGGGTTTCATCTAGAAATAATGTTTGATTATAATGAATGGCTGATGACACATTCGAATATTTATGTCTTTAGGCTGATGTCAACATACCTGTAAGATTTTCACTAGTGTACTTCTAAGTTACCGTAGAAAGTGACGAATCTTAAGAACTAGTTAGCGAATAATCGCTTACGTTCGTGTGACAAGAAACAACAAGATGGAAGGGTAACTAACCCCTTTATTAGTCCAACTTAAGATTGTACACTCTAAGACGGAAGTCTTAGGGTGTACAATCAAAGTCGACACTTGGGCTTGAAAACTTAAAAAACTAACAATTAAACTAAAGACTAAGATTAACTAAAGAAATATAGCCGAAGCTGTCAAGATTCTGGATCTAGTTGGCCCTTAACTTCTATTTGACCTACGAAGCTCTCAAGGGCCTGAGTACGGCTGAGCGTAATAACAAGCTTTGAGAAGAGAGAGAGTGTAGCCAAAAGGCAGACGTGCGTAAATCAGAAACTCTGATTCTCTTTCGTTAAGACCAAAGAACTTCGCGGTTAAATACCGCGCTTTCTCATTATGCATTCAGATGTGATTCTAAAATTACGTTCTGGCCGGAAGTAGCAAGTTGAAGTTAAGAATTTGACAGGAAAGGAACTTTAACTTAAAATTTAACTGTTAATAAAATTAACATAATCCTTACATACCATATATTTTAAGGTTGTAAGGTACATTTTTATTTTATAACAGTTATTTTAATTTGAAAGACCTTTCCTATCAATTCTTGTTTCCACTTGCAGCTCCCTACCAGAATGAGTTTTTAGAATTGCGTTGAATGCAAATGTGTTAGAAGAAGTATTTAAAGAAAGTTTAACTTATTTCGTGAGAGTTAGGAATTCTGAGTAACGCGCATTTTGAAGTGGCTTTGGGCTAAGTGTCTTTTGAAGCTGTTTCACTAGCCGTATTATTACGTGCCTTTTGATATTAGCCGGCTAGTTTAATTCAAGGGCCAATTACGTTAGATACTCGTGTTTGACTTCGGCTAAGTCACCTTTAGTTAATTAAAGTTTAGTTTCTTATTTTTTATTCTGAGTTAAAACCCGAATGGAGGCTCTGTTGTAAGCCCTAGAAAGGGGCCAACTGTTAGAGTACACATCTTTAGTTATTTCAACTCAGCGATGAGTCTCTAAAGAGTTCACTAGGTTTCTCGACGTTCGTCTTAGACAAAAAGAGTGATGAAACCTACAAGGTGATGTATGCATTTATTTAACAAATGAAATCAACAGGAAATGGAAAAGGCGAAAACTTGTGATAATGTTAAATTTATAACTATTTTTACTTCCTTGTACGAAGTAAAAAGGAAGTATTGTAATCGCGAAAAGTTTCAGGCAACATATTTCAACGAAAATATACATTTTGACCGCTATCGAATGCAATTTAACGATGTTATTGCGTGATAGTTGATAGTTGACGGGGGACGTGTGCACCATCCCTTTACCGTAATGGTTAATTGGCATATGCAACACGTCCACCTCTATCTTGAGCCAGATGGACCACACAGGCGCCTCGCACCATACACCGAAACCCAGCGACCAGGCCATCCAGGTGGCAGTCCAAAAGACCAAAGAAGTCCCCAGAAGCATGTTCACACCAACCGCCCGGGCCTAGTATTTATTGAGTCAAAGTTCAACAAATACATGGCCAGACAAGGGCTCAAAAAAAAAAAAAAATAAAATAAAATAAATAGATAAATAAAGGGTACATTTGAATTTTTGACAAAGCATAAGATTACAAAGGTGCAGGTGCCAGTTTTGAATAAATACTAGAATCACATAGACATAATTAGAACAAAACACATACAGATAGCGATAACAATAGAAAACCAAAGGAGTAAACACCATTACAAAACTACTACTGCTACATACTACAATACTACAAAACTACTACTAGAATACTTACAAACAGTACTACAAACTGATACAATGCTAAATATTACAAAACTGCTACTGCTGCTACATACTAGGCTGATAATAATGCTGATAGTATGATATCGATGATGTAATGATCTTAATACTGATGGTAAGCAAGGATACAATACATAAATACATTATGCAACTATATAAATACCAATGCAAGGTAAAGAGGATACATTATACAACTATATATACACGCATACACACATATATACATACATACACATATACAGATATATACTAATACAAGGTAAAACGATACTAATGATTCTGTACGAGATGCAAGACAAGATAGATAATTCAATATAAGATCAATAAGCCATATTGTTCAATACAATAGTTAATGCAAAGTTAATAAAACACTATTTATATTACTATACCAACTGTATATTTCCTATATTAGTGCAATTTTATACGACGCATATCTATACGATGCTCACAATTTAATATATATTACACAGTACTGTATTGCAGGGAACTTATAATTCAATTTTATACAAGATGATACATATCTATACTATGTTCACAATTTAATGTATATATTATATAATACATTATACAGTACAATATGATTTATAATAACGTAAGATAATGGATGCTATATCATTCAATTACAAAAAGTTAATGCAAAATTAATGATCTTACATTATTATATTACGATACCAACTACACATTTCCTGTATTGCAGGGGACTTATAGTGCAATTTATTATGTATATACGATGCTCACAACATTGCAATTTCATATAAGATGATACACATCCATACATAGCTCACAATTTAATATATATATTATACAATACGGTTATACGATATAATATAATGTACTGCAAATACGTAAGATATGTGATACAATAGGTAAATTAACATGCTTACAGGGTTAGCATACAAGACACAACAATAGGTACAATACAATACTAAGAGTAAATAAATAGAGTATGTGACAGTATATAGACAAATGCAATGTAGAAAAATACATATTGTCAAGTAATTGGTAATAATTCTATGCAATATGCAATACAAGACATATGATACAGTATAAAATCGATAAGCTACGTCTATGATACTATTTATAATTTAATGGAATATTAAAGCAAAAAAGAGACCAAAATACTACTTTAACTTTCATACAGTATTTTAACACACAATTGCTAGTTCAGTAAAATAATTAATACAATATTTAATTCAATACGTATCTCAGGGTATAAAAAGAAGTGCAATATATATATTCTTAATAGTATGATGCCTATAAGGCAATGTTCTTAATAACTAAAGCGAATTAAATGCAATACTTTGTATACAATACACAAAAGCAACACTTCAGTACAATACTGAGGATATAAAAAAAAAAGACATATTTTGCAACAGTATATATACAAATGCAATGTATAAAAATACCTATGATCAATTCAATATTATTAATTCTGTGCAATATGCGATACAATGCAACAATATAGTTTATACCAATATAATGTAATAAAAATACTTATGATCAATTCAATATTAATAATTCTGTGCAATATGCAAAACACGACATATAATTCAATATAATCAATAAACTAAATCTAAAAATCTAAAGTCTAAAATTCTGCATGTAATTCAATAAAATAGTTAACGCCAAGTTGAATCAAGACTACTTATAACGTTATGCTAATAATCCAGTTTCTGTATTGCAAAGAATTTAATTTACAGTTCCATACTAAAGCATACATAGTGATACGATGTTCATAATTTCAATATGTTGCATCACATATTCTTAGGGTAGAGCTTATAACTCAACATAATATTACATAACTACCAACTTAATACAATAATTAATGCAAGCAAGAATTAAAATAATAAGTAAATTAAGTTAATAGACTAGTTAGAATATAATGCAGTACTTAGAGTGCAAATATTGTATATTGTAATTATAATGAAATATGATACAATGCTAATAGTTTGATACAATAGTTATTACAATGCTCGATACAATATTTTTGATATATAACCAGATTAGAATACTTAATATGTAGCTTGTAATTCAGTAAGATAGTAATACCATATGTATAGTTTGAGGTTGCGAGTATAATACTTATTGTGGCAATATCTTATAGTGCATTTAAAATACAATACAATTTTTAATAATATTTGTAACAATACTGGGGACTATTAAAAAGAAAGAATATAGTTATAATATGTAAATAGACAAGAATGCAACTGGAGTGTACAAAAATACAATTGTATTATGAAAACACTATGTAAACAGACAAGAATGCAACTGGAGTGTACAAGAATACAGTTGTATTATGAAACCAGGAAAAAACCATTAACATTAGACAACCTGACATAGATCAGATCCATAACTGTGGAGAATGTCCATAATTTTTGAGAGTTTTCTGATAAGGTACTTCTGCTTAATTAAAAATTTACTAAATGCTAGTTGATTATCCACAGGGAAAGGAATGTGAAATTCCTCCGTTAACGGGCATGTAGTAATATAATGTTCAGGTATGCCTAGAGTTCCGCAGACACAATATTCACTATTTGAAATTCCATGCTTGTAAAAGTAGCTTGGAAATGGACCATGCCCCCCGAGATATATTTTACTAGTTGATGATTTGTTATCTGACGACATTGATCCACATACGTAATATGATTGTACGTTCGTCGACCAGTTTCATCAGTATCCCATTCTAGTTGCCATTGGGATATAACTTTTTAAAAGAAGAGCTCGTTTTAAGTGAGATGTTGGCCACTTAAGAATCACTTCTTCAGCCTCGGCATCGGTATTTTCGGCAGCTGATTTGGCTAACTTATCTGCCAAAGTATTACCGTGATCCCCAGCATGGCCCTTAGTCCAAG